GGACCTTAGAGCACCTGAGCTGCAGCTGTTGGACCTTAGAGCACCTGAGCTGCAGCTGCATGACGCCGTGGACCAGGTGTGAGCAGAGCTTCTCCACGTCTCCTCCACAGCCTCCGTCCTCCTCGGCTCGGGGCAGGTACAGCTCCCAGCAGGCCCAGTGCTGGTACTCCTGACTGCACAGACAGCAACACTCAGCTCAGCCTCATGTGGTGGTGTTTCTGCTCTTCTTAACGTTTCTGCTGTTCCTAATGTTTCTGCTCTTCTTAACGTTTGCTGCCTCACCGTGCTGCGTCAGAGAGGACGTCCTCACTCCTCTGGACTCTGAGCTCCTCGTTCAGCCAGTCTGAGAACGACAGCTGGACAAACACAACAAGGTCTGGTCAGGTTTCCTTCCTTCAGCTTGTGGAGCAGAAGATGAACTACGGGGATTTAATCTGTCCGGTCTGATCACAACCTACACGGGTTTAGAGTTTTAAACATTTAGGAAATGTAAAATACATGCGGATGTTTTGGGAAACGACACCAACTGATGTTCTTCTTCAGGTCTGTGTTGAAGGTGAAGCTTGTGTTGGACTATTTTCCTCTTGTCGGGGTTAAGCTGCTTTTAAATGATGTTATATATAAATAAAGTTATTAGTATTCTCTATGGCGACTCTCTGACCTGCTGGACGTCCACTGTGTTTGGCTGATGAACAGACATGATGAGCCCAACGAGGGGAAGAACAGATGTGTGTCAACTCAGCCAACGTGGATCCTGGACCATCTCAGAATCTGTTGAAACCTTCTTGGAATGATCTTCAGCATCTCAACCTGACATCTGCCCATTTTTAGCTGAACATCCAACATTTTCAGAATTCTTCACACAATGGAAATCTTTAATAAATCCCTCACGATGCCACTTCCAGACGTCCTGGAGTCTCCACATGGTCAGGAGATGTTCAGAAGGTTCTGGTGAATGTAGAGAATGCAGCAAATTCTGGAAATCAAGACTCAGATTTGTCCTTAACACCTCTCAGATTCAGGATTCAAATACAACCTTTTTTACCTGAAAAATCCTAAATCCTTACTTCCTTCACTGTAACTTAACACACGTTTGTTTTTTAACCTGAACTTAGTGGTTGGACGAACACTTCCTGAATGTATTTATAATTTGCACCAAACTGTGCAGGACTTTGTCGGACTTTACAACTAAACAGCGACTTATTTTGAGATAATTATTAAGAAAATAAACTAAAAGACACAGGCTGAGCAAAACAACGTGTTGCTGAACTTTTTGCTGAATAGTTAAAGAACAATAATGCTGATCCAACAGATCCTGTACGTTAGACATATATGTTTCCAAATGGTTTGAAAATCCACTTTGTGATTTTTGAACCAATCCTGAACTCTGGAGGATTTAGTCAATACACTGAGTCTTGATTTCCAGAATCTTCTGCGTCCTCTCTGTTCACCAGAACCTCCTGAACATCTCCTGAACATGTGGAGATCCAGGACATCTGAAAGTGGCATCGTGAGGGATTTATTAAAGATTTCCATTGTGTGAAAAATTATGAAAATGTTGGAAGTTCAGCTAAAAGTGGGCAGATGTCAGGTTGAGATGCCGAAGATCATTCCTAGAAGGTTTCAACAGATTCTGAGATGGTCCAGGATCCACGTTGGCTGACACTGAATGAGCCACAGAATAGAAAGTCAGAGGTCTTCTCTGGGTCCTTCACATCGCTGCAGGTTGAGCAGCCGTCATTAAACATCAACAAAACGTGTAGAACCCTTTCATTCACACCAGGAACATCAGGAACATCAGCCACTCACCTGGTACTCTGGTTCCTGCTGCAGCTGTTGGAAGGCCACGTTCCTCCACAAGTGTCCAGCTGTCGTCCTCCAGGTGCTGCTGCTGTCTGTGACGCTGCTCCACAGGTTCTCCTCCAGGTTCTCCTCCAGGTGTTCTCTGCCTCCAGCACCAGCAGCAGCCCTTCTGACTCCAGGCAGCAGTCTGGGAATCAGGTACAGGAGCTAAACACAGACACATGTTGTAGTAAATACACCAGATGAAACACTCCTAAAACCTATTCATAGACCTGCTTTATGTGTCATCGTCTGTTTTATTGTTTGTTTCTGTACACATCTACCAGACACGTACTACCTTCACCCTAGTTTTCATGGTTTGAGCCCATTTTCTTTTATTCCATTTGTTCTGTTTGTCGGTTGGACGTGACATGTGGGTGATCTGGTTTAGATTTAATTAGCTGGTTAGTTTCCTACTATGTTAAACTCTATTTCTCCTCTTCTGTTCAGCTTCTCATGCTGATTCAGAACTCATCATGCTAACCAGGCTGCAGGCAGCAGGTCTAACTCCACGACAGATCCAACGGGTGAAGAGCAGATTTCAGGATGAGGATCTTTTTCTGATTCATTGCTGACTTCATTAAACATCCATTTGTTCAGTGTTTTCTGGGCTCTGTGATGAAACATCAACAGAACCTGCTGTAGACGAGACAAACACACGAGGATCAACAATGAGTCTAACGAGACCGGTGCTGGTCTGGTACCTTCTTGTAGATGCTGCTGGGGATGAAGTCCTGCAGTCGGTGCTGAGGCAGCGACTCACTCCTGCAGATCCCGTAACACACAGCAGCAACACACAACCTGGACAACAACAGCCGTGAGCCACTGCTTCACCAGAACAGAAGGTCAATCAGAGCCTCCAACTGGACCTCCTCAGAACGTCTGGTTCTGTACCTGCAGCACCTT